TTGAAAATGGGATTATTATTAGGATTATTTGTAGGTCATTGAAAAGTAGAATCATTTAGAAAGATGTGAACATTGAAGTTTCTATTTTAGAAAAGCTGACACTGTAGTGCACCGCTGGTTTTAAAAGTGATTTATGAAAGTCATGTTTAAAGATGTGCAATACTTAAAACGTTTATAAAGATCCTCTGACTGTGTGTCATTAGTTAGCTGATCAAATGTTAGGGATAAATACCTTGACATATTGACTACAAGAGCTTGAATCAAACAAGCAACCTTGTATTTGAAAGATTAACTCACATAGCAACAGTCGCCCCTGGTATATAAGTGGTGTGGCTGAGTACTTTAAAGGGTTCATGAATAGAGGGGACTTGAATGTGAAATAAGAACAAGAAAATAAAAGTCTAAATGCATGAAAAAGCAGCAGAATATTTGAACTGAAAACTTTAGAACTAAAAGCATACGTCACCAATAATGTCTAAAATATGTGGAACATGTTGAAGTCAGTATCGGAAAAGAATAGTCTGAGACAGTCTGTTAAACTCCAGTCACCACGTCATTAGTCTGCTGCTCTAATTATGTCAATTGGAGTTATGACATCCTCGTGTTCCATGACACAGGTGTTTATATTTGAGCTAACGACGTGTCCAGAGATCAGAGGTTTCCAAGGTGATCAGTGAGAGGAGAGCATTTTCATTGTTCTGAATGAGAGATAAATCTCTTACATGTGAACGTTTTGTTGAAGAAACAGATATCGGTGAAATTTCAAAGCTTGAAACATGTCATGGAACTTGAGCATCTGAAGTGTACTTTTTGTGTACTTTCAGGTTAATAATGTGGCCTTTTTGGCAGATTAACTAAAGGTGTGCGGCTGCTGTGGTGGGGAAAGGTGAGGCTGAATTTACAATGGGTTTTAATGGAGACATGTTGAATGTTTTTGTCACTTCATGCCCTCAAGAGGCATTTTGTTTAATTATTTTTTATCTTTCAAGCTAGGAGATGTTTTCCTACGTTTGTCATGAAATATTATGTCTCAGGAATGTAGGGTTTGGAAATTATGGCAGGTTTAAAAGAAAATATGACGGCAAAATTAAATCTGTCCTCCACTCTAGCTGTGACATCACGCAAGTAAGAATCGGATTTAAAAGTTGTGTTACACGAATAATGTCAGAAAGATGTGTGACATTTTAAAGTTGGAATTAGGTTTCTGAGTGAAAGTATGAAGGAGCAGTTAGCAGTTGAAGAAGGAGCAGTTGTGATGTGATGTATTATGGGATGTATCTCTGGAATTATGAAAGTTATGAATGATAAAAGTAATAGCCATCGATTCCCGACCGAGCTGAACGTTTTGATGTTCGAACAGAGTTTCTGCGATGTTCAAAGTGGGAGAAGAAGAGGCGCAAAATAACCCGGCGGAATAATAAAGAATTTTGTGCGTAGCATAACAGATAGTTGGAATGCTGTGTCAGCATTCCCACTAAACTAAGGTAACTAAATGTTGTGTTTAACAGAGATGTTCTCAGTACTGTTTACAATAGGCAATTCAGCATTAATTAACTAAGCAAGTAAAGTAATCGGCAACAAAAGATCCATAAAGGTGTTTTTTATATATTTTTTTAGCATAGTAGTTGCCTAAGTTGTTACTGATGATTTCTTAAAACACAACAAGGGGCCTAAAAACATTGTGTGTTGGCACAGGCCAACAGTAGTTTTTTTATTGGTACGTTATATGATTTCTTTGGTATGTCATATGGAAGGCCATGCCAGACGATTTACAAACTGAGACCAAACTAAAAAGAAGAAGAAACAACATCAGTGTTACACCCTCAAGTCCCTCAGTATTTATTTATACATTGCTTTATGTAGGGTTTAAATGATGCAGCTTCAGAACACTTAATGTTACTACTTTCAAAATGCTGTTTTCCCCAGGATTAGACATATTTATGCAGGAGAGGCTCATTCTACAACCCATTGTGTAATAACAAATCACCGCAGATCTTAAGGCTCTGAACAGTAAAAAAAAAGGCCTTCCAGCCGTCTATTTAGTGTCTTACTGCAAGCACGCCTCAACCTGCCTCCTCATCACCTTTCAGCAGTTTCCACATATTATTCCTCACATGTGAATAGCTGCTCAGAAATGCTTATTTACACTTTATTCAAACCGGTGTCGACAGGTAGACCTGCTGTCAGCACACATGCAATATTAATCTGGTGATCCTGTTGCAAACAGCCACCACTTTTGCTTCTCATCCGTCGGTTTTATACAATTGTTTCATCTAAGAGCTGTTGCTTGTGTTTGCTGCAGATGAAACTAAAGATGTGATACAAAACCCCAGTAGAGTCTCTATAGTCCTGATCACTAGAATGTTCATACTCAGGTAAAGAGGCAGCACAAAAATGGAGAGCACAGCCAGGAAACCTATCATTACATTCACCCCTGGGCAGGGAAAACCCCTCTGTCGCCACCCATTCTGGCTCCTGTATTGTGAGTCCACATGTTCCTCAAGGGGAAATGCACAAGGTGTACCTCTCTTTGTCCTCTCATGCTTCTGTCCTCTCTCTACAGACAAGCACTCAGGGGAGATGAGGACAAAGTCTCCATGGTGATACGCCGACATCTGCACGCTGTTCCAGGAATACGCTCTGTGAACAGTGCAGCTGCTCTCTGTTTTCTCTGGGTCAACACACTGTTCTGGCTCCAACCCCACCATCCCAGGGTTCACAGGCCTGGAGGGGGAAGACAGTGTTGGAACAGGGTCTTTACAGCAACTGTCGCCATTGTTGTTAACTCCCGATTTCTCTCTGTGTGTCTGTGCAGGGGCCAGGTTTCGTCCGATCAGGCCCAGGCTCTTGGTCAGGACGATCAGGAGGAAGAAGAGGAAGGCCATGCCCCAGCGGGGATTCACGCTGCTTGGCATGTGGCCGAACATGTTGGGCAAACATCTGACAAGGGAGTTGGTTGAGTGCAAACAGGCAACTGCCCTCACTTCCTCCTGCTTCCATCGCAAACTGACATTGAAGGCGACAGCGACCCACACTGACAGGCAGCAGAGGTAGCTGACAACATGAGACCAGCGCTTTTCTGTGTCTTCACTGTCTTTGTTGACCTCCTCTTCTTCCACATTTACCTCAATAACAAAGCAAAGCTTTTCGATAGAGTCCACTTTAGGACAGGCCTTCCGGATAGTAACAACAGAGTGAGGCCACGGCAGTCTGGTCACACTCTCCACTGCGATCAGAGGAGTGATCAGGAGCAGCACTGCACCGTATGTTTCGCTGAGGAAGATCAGGAAGCGCAGGGCAATGACGTCGCCAAGTAGGGTCAGCTCAGAGACCCAGGACTCAAAGATCCAAAGGAAACTCAGAAAAACTGTAGGAGAAAAAAAATAAAGGGGTCAATCAGTCAGGTCACTGTAGAGCAGTATGTGGAAAGATGGTGGAGCAATATTATTAGAAATATCCTATGAAGACGTGCTTTACAACATCTGCCTGGATTATTCATTTGTGTCTTAATTAGTGTAACAATAAAACTACTTTGTTTATTATTAAACAGGTCAAATGAAATGAAATCCTAAAAGTTTGTTTCAACAAGTTGTTTCATCTTTATGGTTTTTAGTGAGAAAACAACACTGAGATATTTCAGGCGTTAAAAAACATGAAACCCTTTTGATACAGCTATGGGAGAGCAGTATACTGGGAAACACTGGACTGACGCTCACCTGTGACCAGGAAGTCGGTGAAGAGCAGGAGGCAGCAGCAGCAGAAGCTGGCGGGACTGTAGGAGGAAGTCAGCGATGGCAGGAAGAGCAGACTGCAGGCCAGTTTACACACACATAACACCGTCGCTCCTTCCAACACACCATCCATGGCTGCAAACACAACACATACATGGGTTGAATGTAACGAAACACTGGTTTTGTTTCTGCCTCAGGGTGGAGAAGCTCAGGAATTCCCGGCACTCTGCTGTCAGTAAACCCCCCATCGATGTTAATATGTATCTGTATGTAATGTTTTTACATGATCCTTCCACTGTCAGGGATTCTTTCTGACGTGGTTGCAGATCAATATTTTCTTGTTTACATTAGTAGTGAACTACGGACCAGATACACCAGTTACAGACGTTGAAAAATTAGAAAACTGATGTCAACATACTTAAAATGATTGTAAAAAGTGATGTTAAACACTAGCAATGAATAAACACATGCCATGAGACTACTCAGTAATGTGAACACATGCAAATGTACTGACAGACTTTGTTGTTGTGACTTGACTGTAAACATAACCACCTCCAGACCATGAATCAATCAGACTTGTTAAACCTGTAGAACATAATCTCTTATCACATGTTTACAGAATGAAAAGTCAAACTACAGGTAACCCAAAACTATGAGTCTGCTTTAAAAGTGCGGAAAAGTTCATTAGTTCTTACCTGTACTCACAGGAGCCTTCAGAGCAACATGTCAGTATGAGCTTCAAATGTTTCATCCTGCTCTTCACCTCTCTTTTTGCTCCGCCCTCATGGGGATAATGACCCCCCCACCTCCTGTGCTCCCTGCTGCACCTGGCCTGGGTAGAGGTGACAGTGCCTCAGAGAGGGTGTGGCACAGTTTGTGTAAGTAAGAAAACCTGTCTAACAACTGATTAAGTAACTAACTAACTGACAGTGAGAGATCAAAAGTGCGTGACATAAGTTAAAGTATTGGATAAAAGATATTTCATGCAAACAATCCTGTTACACCTTGCTCAAACTGCAGTATTTAGTTTCAAAGGTTACAGCATGCAGGTTGTTTCATTTAGCAGTTTTGGACTGTAGATCACATAACACATCACAAAATGATTCATTCATGCTTTAAATATGTTACATTTAAACCTCAGACCCTATTACTGTTCCCCCTTATTTATGAATCATGGACGACAGTGGTTGCTTTAGTTTCCATTATGTTTAAGAAACAGAGTAGAGTTGCATCATACATTCGGCAAGGCAAGGCAATTTTATTTATATAGCACTTTTCAGCACGTGGCGATTCAAAGTGCTTTACAGATTAAAAGCAAAAAACATTTAAGAACAAATACAGCATACATACATTATGTATCTACAAAACAAAACTGCCTCATTTTCTGTTCTCAGATTAAAAGTCATAAGACATTTGTATTTAGTTGTACTTCATGTTCGAACCAATCTTGGAAATAAAACTGGTATAAAGCGCTATTCTCGTCACGGATGGAATAAGATGCAAAAAACGTGAAAAGATGAAGTTGTTATTCCCTATTTGATGACTTGAAAGCATTACACCCAGAAAGTTCACCCTTGACCTTGTAAACAATGATCACAAACACCATAAGGTCAATTAAACAGCCGTTCTGGATCTTTTGATCATATCGCATGATTCGTTAGGGTATGGGTGTTGGCCAAATTGTCATGAAATTGTAATTTTCAGAGACATTTGAGGACATCTCATTCACTTTGGCTTTAAAGCTGAGTTTTCATCCTTGATAAGTGTGATATGATGGATTAAAAGCCCCAAAACAGCCCCTCAATGGACCTTGTGCTGTTTCCGAGGCCGAGAAAGGAGACGAGGATTGTGTGACACAATCAAAATACCTTGAAAAGCTTTGAAATGGACCTGCTCATGAGACTGGTTTTAAAAATCAGGAGGCCATTAGACCCGTCTGTTTGTGATCCACTGATACAAAGAAGAGGTTTGGAAACCACATGTAGTTATCAGGTTTTATGGTTATTTATTTTACTGAGTCACAGTATATGTACACAGGATTTTTTGCAAAGCAGAGTCAGATGAAGCTCAAATAAAGTTTAAGTTCATAAGATGTGAGAGATTGACCGAAGAGAATGTTAACTGCTTGTATTTAGCTTTGGTGGATGTAATAATAACATTAGATAGGTCTACAGTATCTCTCTAATCATCCTCTTTTTTATCCCCAGTCAAAGCTATGCGATGGAAACCTGTGGAGATTTGCATTTCATTATGAACACGAGAAGAAACATTTGAATGTGTGTGTGTGTTACTTTGTTTGTGTGTGTGCTAGCACCATGTAGGTCAAGATGATGCAGGCAAGAAAGCAGCCATGTGTACAGGGTGCAGAGTGGACTAAAAGTTGAATTGAATGTTCCTCAATACTTATAAATGACGGAAACAGTTTTAGTTGTTTATGCTGACATATTTATGACAATCAAAAATGGTCATGTGACGGCTCAGTTGGCCGTTTATATGCATAGTATATATTTAAAACAGGAATATCATGAACAACTCACTTTTGCTGTTCTTGTGCACCATGTGGGCAGCCGATCTAGAGTGCCTATCAAGCCATACTGTACAATTACAAATATTGTCAGTTTTTTTGGTGGCAACCTTAGTTAGAAAAGATTTAGAAAGCCATTTGAATTGCCCCCCTTCCTATGTTATATGCAGGCTCATTAACATGTACTGCCCCCAGACTCCTCTTACAGCCTGAGAACCAGAGCAAAGTTGTGCCATATGTTTCTCAAAAGCAAATAAGAGCACAATATGCTTTTTCCAACATAAATACAGGTGTATTAAGATAAACAGTATGATAAAAAAAAAATTTTTTGTAACTTTACAGCATGTAAATATGTTCTAGTATGAACCAAAATATGGGTATAAACCCGAAAATGAGCAAAATATCTCCCCTTTAATGTTTTGGGTTTTATTCTTTATTGATACAAATGAGTTGGATAACATATTACATCTACATCACCACCAGGCGAGTCTTTTGAATACGAGATAATCTGAGAGCCTGCCTACATAAAAACACTTCACCAGCATGTGATTTAAGTAATGTCTCATCTTCATATGTAAAGTGATGGCTCATCATGTTTATCTCCTCACACTTTCATCCATGAGGCACCATGATCGCTGTTCCTCCAGCTTGTGGCAGCAGTGCCATCTCCTGCTGAGCTAAGCACAGAGCATATTAGCAGCCTGTCATGCTGCTGCTGAGCGGATTACACTTCATATTTAGCCTATTCTACATTGCAATCCTGACCTGGCACACACATACACACTGAAAAATGAAAAACAGAAGGCTGATTGATTGTAAGAAATACGGGCAAATCAATAAGTCAGTCAAAATGCAGCATTCAAAGCACCAGTCATTCCCTTTCAGTTTTGACCTAGAATGCCCCCCACTTTTTTGAATCACACTGCTCATTTGATCAACTGTGTCTGAGCAAAGCTGTCATCAAATCAGCATAAAAGAGGTCAATATAAACCTGTCATTAGAGAGAAAGTGGGCCTTTATTTACCGCAGTAGGGACATTCAGGAGTTGAATTATCATCTGCTTTACACTGCTGGAGTAAGATCACATATTTTCTGCTCTGACTTTCATACAGATCTTGAAATACATGCAACATTATTCTCATTAGAATATTCACTATACTAGAGCTTATTCAGCCTTATTTGTGTTTATTTGAGAATATTGTTGGTGATGATGCACAAGAGACAGCCTGCTTCAATAACTGTACCTGCACTGTGAAAACCTGAACTCTTGCCAAGTCAGTTTGTATCATTTCTAGTCAGAATGTCTTTACACTTGATATAAGACATAATAACTTAAGAACAATGCAGTGAGATATAGGGTCTTGTTTTTAGAAAATGCATCTTATGTATCTTTTTAAGTCAAACACTCTCGAAAATAATTTATTTAGATTTGTATCTCAGATGAAACAAGTTTTTTAAGCTGCTATGGTATTTGTAAAAGATGGATCATCTTGTTTCAAGAAAAAAATCTTGCTTGATTTAAGAAAACAAATGTTATTGGACAATCGCCAACAGAAATCTTTGGAGAATTTCTGGTTTATTTTGTAACACAAGATGTCCTGATTTTCCCCAGCTAATTACAATATATATTTATCTAAATATCCCAAACTAATCTCAATAAATCTTACCAAACTATTTTTCACTTATTCCAAGCGAAAACACCTTGTTTTTATTCATCTTTTACTTGATTTTGGAGCAGCATTTTTTACAATGTGTGCCTTTTTGTGCAGTCTGTGACGCATGTGAGTTGCATTTTATGTATAAAAGGTGCTATATAAATGAAATGTAGACATGTTAATATTAGGCAGACTGTAGTCTACAGGAAAAAATATGATCAATATAAGCTACCCACGCATTTGCACGAGTGTATCTAACGCGACCACAACATCTGCAAGAAACTAACCAGCGTTAAAATAGAAACACGAAAATGGGTTGAAAAAAATCAGTTTCAGCTCAGTGTTGTGAGACGCCTGCAGCCCCCAGAAGTGAACAGCAGGCGACCCGGAAGGTTTGAAGTCCGACTGAGAGCAGGCAGAAAGAAGAGTCTAATCCTTTATAAAACATTTCTTCCCTCGCTGGTTCAGGTATGTTGGCCGCTCGATGCAAATTCTCTGCCTCTTTTTATTTTTGCTCTTATCTCTCGCACACAGCTCTCCATGTGTGGCTTTGTCACCGTTTCTGCTCAAGTCGTGCAAAAGTTGTATTAAATAACAGCATTTGCACCGATAAAGACTGATTTCTTTTTCTTCTGTCGTGCAAATAACAGCTTTCAATACGCGCCAGAATCTACATCGACATTTGGGTTTGTGGCTCAGCAGCTGCAGAGCATTCAGCGAAGGCATGATGATTGTTGTAGGAAGTGTCAGGATCTTTTTTTTTTCTCCTCCTCAAGCCGGGCTATTCAAACCTGCAAATCAAAGTAAACAATCATTCGTACGCTTAATGCAAATACGCCACACGCCGACGCATCACAACAGCGCGTAATTAGGCCTAGATCTGGAGGAATTATGTCCTTATTACATTCGGATCTGCAGAATATGGCGTCCAGTGCTTATAAAAATAAGACAGGGCTGCCATTTTTGTTTTCCTTTTGTCTGAATTTTTTTAATAAACTGTCTGAGAATGTGGGAGAGGCGAAGGGAGCGAGGCGCTGCGGAGGATCGTTTCTCTGGAGGAGATGCTCTCGTTACAAGCTGCTCGGGTTTTTAGATGCAAACATTAGATTCTGTTTCTTTGGCTCAATTCAGCACAGCATGTACAGAAACGGAGCCAAAGTTAACCCTAACTTTAGTTCCTGGGATTGCATTTCTCTCTAGAGGTGCTCTAACTGTTTATTACACTGATGCTATTTGCAAAGGAGTTGCTACGTTCACGTGTTTGTGGTAACACTTGATATATGACCATCTGCAGAATTATTGTATATTTAGATTCCTCTACTAGTTTAATTATACAGACACACAGCTATTGCAGATTTAACAGCATGTAGTCTAAGTATGTCTAAGCATCACCTTTTTAAAATCCTTTATATGTGGTTTTATTGATACTCTTCTAATTCTTTATAGAGTATTGAAAGCCACAAGATATTTGCTTTTGACCTTAAATTAGGAAAGAATGCAGTGAAACATGTTGGTAATTTATTGATAAAGGATTTTGTTATTTATAAAAGGCCATCAAGTTTAACATTGTAATAAGAAATTAAAACAGCCTTTTAGAGTCAATCGATAGAAAATCAATTAAAACTGTTGATAATGCTACAGATGCGATACTGATTTAATATCAAAGTGTAATGTGATCATTTGATATATATTATAGTTAACTGAAAATAGTTTTAGACCAACACATGCGTCCTTGGAAATTATATTGACAATCTTTCAACATTTTCTGCTTTAAAAAGAAATTGTATTTCAACACAATAACTAATATTAATCATGAAAGGGATGAAAAATAACCCTCAGTGCAGCCTTAAAACGCTGTAATGCACCTGCATATGAAACACTACATTTTCTACCTGCTGGAAATGCTTTGAACACTGTTACACAAGGAAATGAATAGTCCTAATAAATCTTTTTTTAAACTCAGCAAAAATAAGCAAACACAACAACACTATCCTGGCCCCTTAAAGTTAATACAAAAGCAATGCAGTCTAGACCTGACTCCACAGGTTATAGGGAGGACTCTGTTATATCCTACATACACTATGAATGTACAGCAACACACAGGAACTGTTGATCATAGAAATAACTTCACTGCCATTCATTTCTTTCTGTGTGTCATTCAAAGAAGTGGCACAGAGATGCCGTCGAACTACTGAGCCTCCTCCCTCGAGGCAGAAAGTCTCCAGGAAGTGAAACTGATCCCCACTGGCATCATTAGAGAAATATTTTGTAGGGTTTTCTGTACGCTCGTACCCCTGAACGTATCGTTTTTGTTTCTCTTGGCTCACGGATATGGACTGTGTTATGCCTCTGCTAAGCCAAACAGACTTAGGAATGGTGAAGTGTGCCAAAGCACGCAAATGCAAAATGTTTTAAAAAAGAAACTTCATACGAGTTTGAGAAGAGAAGCTATGGAAAGAAAAACCTTTTAAGATCAAAACTTTCGCAAGTGAGCAGCCATCTCTGTCGTAAAAACGGTTTCTGGTCAGTGTGGAGAAGCATTATGCCCAACTTCAAACCATAATAATCAAATATTGTCATTTAAAGATAATATACATGCTCCTATGTTGAATTATAAAAAGAGGAAAAAAATACTGTCACAATATGTGTGTGCAGCATTCTCATTTAGTCTTTCCATGTTCATTATATTCAGTTTGCTTACTGACTTCTCCGCTTTTGACTATGTTATTCAGGTCTTGCTCTACTATGAGGGCAGACTGTGCTCTTCTGTTTCCCATTAACCTGTCAGGGCCCCATGTTTCGAGCAGGAGACAGACAGTGACAGATTAGGATCTGAGTCACATCACTTTAACATTTCTGTTTTCTCTGATAACAGTTCTCTAACTAGCCGTTGTAACAATCTGAGAGCCTATCTCTCAGGCAGCATGCCTATTCCGAAGTCCTGTAGTTGGAAATCTTAAGAAAAAGCTGCATCACTCACTTAAACGTCCTCCTTCGACAACAGGAACATATTCTCTGCTATCTGTGATGAAGCATCGTGTAAAGACACATGTCTCCTCTTGCACTTTGTGGAAAGGGGTATACATTTTACAGAATGTCTTTGAAAATAGTTATCTTAAACCATCACGTCAAACAGTCAGCTGCTGCTTGTTTTTCACCACCTTTTTGTACACGTACAAAAGTTCTTCACATAAATGTAGTTTTGAAGGCAAATATCACTGCGGTGGCTCCCCAACAGGATAAACTACAGGAACTATAATCGGAATTATCCTGAGAAGTTTCTAGATGATTCAAGGTTTGCTCTGATCTTCTCTTTTTGGGTTTAAATTACAACTCTAAAAATGTAAATTAAACCAAAAGAATGATAAATCACTCACCTATTCACCGGATGAGGATTCACAAGTACATTTTGCTTTGTTTAATTAACGTTAAGAAGCATTGTCTAACCAGTCTACCATTTTGTACTTGATGCATACTGCTTCACTGATGAACAGAGAAGCTGCACTCACCTTATTTATGATCCTTGTGTATTTATTTCAGGATGGCTGAACCTCGCTTTAACAATCCCTATTTTTGGCATCCACCTCCTAATATGCCCGGCCAGGTGAGCGACTCTGGTATTCTCTCTAATGCGCATGTTAGCCTGTGGAAGTTACTAAACAGCATCTTGTCTTCATGTTGTTTTCAAATGTTTTTAAAATAATGCATAATTTTAAAGAAATTGTTTGACATTTATTTATGGTGAAAAGATTGATACCACTTTGTATTACGGTACATATGAAGCTGCAGCCAGGAGGTAAAGCATTTTAAACCATTTTAAGCTGACAATTTGTCATGGTTTGTTTATTCTATACAAGAACTGACGTTATAAAATTAAATTTGTATTGTGATTGATTAATAAATTGTCCTTTTTAAACTTCTGTTTTTGATTAAACCAAGGAGAAATGTCATGTTAACTAGTGAGCTTTAAAAGTTAGTTTTCCTTTGAATATCCAGGCTAGCCGTTTCCCTCTGCTTCCAGTCTTTGTGCTAAGCTAAGTGGCTGCTGGTTCTAGCTCTACTTCTAATTTAAATGTCAGCAAAACATAATGACATTACTTGGTCCTGAGATTAATCTGAGGGTTCACCTGATGTATAAAGGGATACATTAAAGCAATGTGTTTTAAAATAGCTGTGCTTTTTCTTCTTAATCTTCTCTTGTTTTAGCTTTAATTCTTGAGATATACTTGTTAGTATTATAAATTCTTTAAATTTGAGAAATCAGAAAAATAGATAGTAAATTCCCTAGCCTGTGATAAGGAGTCAAGACAAAAATGTTGGGAAAACCAGGTTAAACGTTAAATATCATGTACTATTTGCGACATTTACAGTATAATAGTTTTGGGTGCAATGTTCTGTATCAGCCTCTAGAGGGAACCATCTCCTCACTAAGTGTCACTGAATGAACTGATCAGATTTTCTCTTGTCTCAAACATTGTTTCCTGGCTGTCAGCTGGATAACCTAGTCTTGATCAATAAAATCAAGGAGCAGCTGATGGCAGAGAAGATCAGACCTCAGCATCTGCCCGCTGCCTCAGCCCCTTCCCAACAGCCATTGCTGCCTCCCTTCATCCAGGCGGATGGCAGCCAGCACGGGATGTCCAAAGCTCAGCAGATGCAGGTTCTCCACAGCCATAGCCCGTCCCAGCCTGATATCGCCCTGCACGCCCGCCCCGCCTCCAGCTCAGTGACAGGTACTCCTCACCTGCATCTCCAGTTATTGCCATTACACTCACTAATACCAGTGTTGGAAGAAGTATTCAGAAAGTACAACACACTGTAGAAATACTCCACTAAATGTTCTGCATTCAAAACCTTATTGAAGCAAAAGTATGTCAATATTATAAAACACAAAGGTTAAGACTATTAGTTTTGCTGTATGATGAGCTAAATGAAAGTGTTGTTCATTATCTTGAAATGTTTTCCTTTAGACACTAAAGTTGATCACAATGACGAAAGTTATACTTTTTTTTGTTAATATGAATTCTCCATCACATTTTTACCAGGTCGTATTCTGGGAGATGTAAACTTGAATCTGGACGATAAGGCAGCTATAAAAGCCAGAGGATTATGGGAAGACTGGCATCTGCGCCAACTCATCGATCCCTCCAGGACAAACCATGTCTCAGGTAACTTGAACATGAAATTGTCTTATTTATAGAGCACCTTTTGAGTCGCCATACAAGGTGTCTTAAATTACAATGAAAAATGTTGTACGGTTGGATCTCCAGTTGCTGCACAAACAAAGAATGTTGTCCTGAAACAGTATTTGTGGTTTGTTGCTTTCATTTGTCGTTGGTTATTCAAATAATGTGAAAGTGAAATTTAGACTTCGCTGTGCTGTATGTATGTGCAGGAGACAGCCTACGAATTATGTAAACATTTAACGAAAACATTAGTGTTGGGTTGCAAACAGTAGTGCAAAGAGGATTCATATTACATTAGCCTGCTTAGCAATTGTCAGCATCCTAGCATCCTGTTAGCACCCTAACATATTTCATATGATTACAGTGTGTTCAGACTGTTGCCCTTGGTGTATGAATTGGAAATTAGATGATAACTTATTTCAGGCATGTCCTTGTCATTACTTTTGAACCAATCAGGTGTGGCGCTGGCCTCCAGAACAGGCAACCTCAACACCTCAGAGATAATCACCCCCAACACCCCCACCTTGAGCAGCCACAGCCGGCTGGGCGGAGCCCCAATGCCTCACCTCATCACAGGCTTAGCTTGCAGCCATGGAATTGAGTCTGGAAAGAACAACGGCGGCCTCGTAGGACTCCTCGGCCCTCCTCCGAAGGAGGAACGAGGGCGGAAGAGGATTAAAGCAGAGAATGGGTCGTCTCTTTTGGTAGTGCCCTACCCAATCCTAGCCTCAGGCAACGACCAGTCATGTGCCAGTATTACTAGCAAACCAGGAAAAACCTACAGGTAAGAATGAAACGTTACATACGTACATAACAAAGGTGCAGTGTCTCACCATGATATGATGGCTCAAATTAGTTTGCTTCAGTATTCCAGGAGATATGGCAGGTTATAAATCTCTCTGGACTGGTAAATAGGAGAAAATATATTGATTTGTGAACCTAGCGGTTTAATCTACAATAAAGAATAAAATAGAATAGAAATTAAATGAATGTCTAAAACATGTTGAAGTTGGCTCACCAAAATATAAAAGCTGCTCAAAAATTATGTAATGTATAGAACAAGACGTGAACACAGTACACTAGTACACTAGAAAAAATACAAATCTGCATTTCATCAACAGAACAATTACTGTATATATGTCTATGTGTTCTGTGTATGCAGTTGTGTCTCTGTGCGTGTCCTTAAAGTATGTCCTCTTTCTGTGTCACTGATTTAATACAGGTGTAAAATGTGTCCGTTGACCTTCTTCTCCAAGTCAGACATGCAGATCCACTCCAAAACACACACAGAGGCCAAGGCTCACAAGTGTCCTCACTGCACGAAGTCATTTGCAAATGCATCGTACCTGGCCCAGCACCTGCGCATACACCTGGGCATCAAACCTTACCGCTGCTCCTACTGCGAGAAATGTTTCCGCCAGCTCTCCCATCTGCAGCAGCACACCAGGTCTGATCTCAACACAGCATGGCCCTGACAGCCGTGTCTTTGATGTTATTGTCTATATATAAAGTGAAGAATACCTTAACTTATATTACTTGTTGGAGCAGCCCACTACATTGTGCTGTTTCCTAAAGAGCAAATAAATCCGAAACTGTGGTGGAATATGGTTGTAGTCAAAAGGATTTATGTATCGTTCCTGAGGTATGTTTCTTAAATCACAGATTACAAATATTTTTTATTTTAATTTGTTCAACTTTCCTGCAGTCTCCAGCAGGTATTAATGTTATGCACATATAGTAGTTAGATCCACATTTTAAATGTCATTTCAACCAAATTACACAACGAAAAAAACTTTTCTTCCAATTCCCACTTCCCACTTATGATTTCTGCTTAAACCTCATCTATACTTTAGGTTTCATGTATTATTTCACAGGCTTCAATATAAATAGTCTCCAATAAACTTGGTGTTATCTTAGTAAAACTTTAAATATTGTACTTTTTTTAAAGCAGTATTGAACCAACTGACCTCATTTTCTTTGAGGAGCAGAAGTGTTTTGGTTACAGTCTAAAATATCCACGATAACCCCATTTGAGACAATGTTCTCTTTAGTGCCTGAACAATACATTTTTGAGCAGAAAGAGGGCGGTAGATTTTTCCCCTCATCATTTACATTGGAACAGCATTAGGAATTGTTATTGTAATGGTCAGTATAAACAGGAGGAATGACTGTAGCTGTTTCCATACACTGTTGGCAGCATGATCACCTGACTAGTGTTTAGGAGAGGTTAACAAACATTTCAAGTAAAGAATATTTCAACTCTCAATACCCTCAGAATAAAAAACTGACCCTTTAAAATAATTTGTTGCAGCAGTAGGAAATTGTGTTTCAGTTTGGTATTGCAACCTTGTCACTTAAGTAGGAGCAAATGATACTACATTACATTGCATTGCAGTTCAATCCAAAGCAATGTACAGGTTTAGAGGAGGTTTAGACACCGCCACACAGGCTTGAGTCCCGTGGCAACGAATGTAAAGAGGACTACTAACTCTCACGGCAGGGGGTTATTATTATTATTTCACATCTTATTTTAAGTGACCTTAACTAATGTCACCTCAAATGACTGTTGTAGCAGTACAATTACAATCACCATAAGCTAAACCTAAATTTTGAAGGTAATTTTTCAAAGAAATGTCTCAGACCCTTAAGGGGGTCCACATCTTTGTCACCTTAATCCCTACCAATTACTATTTGTTGCAGCAATAATCTGTGTAACACATCCTACCGCAACACAAGGGGTTGTTGATGCAAAATTGTATGCAAATTGTTTAAGTTGGAAAGGGCAACATTTGCGACGGTGCTTGAGGGAGGGCCTTGAAACAGTCATAAGTAACATTCGCCCCAAATACTGTAATGCAGCTTTGAGCATAAAGGAGCCATAGTTACAAGCCACTGCATTGTAAACCTTTTGTTTGCTCTGCAGGCATTCTTTAGTTGCTCAGCCCACGGCCTTGAGTAAACAAGGACTTCACCTTCAAACTTATCTTGAAACAAACCAGAAAAACGAGGAAATGAGAATCTGATAGAGATTTAGGTTTACATTTTTTTTTTTTTACATTTTAAAGTTGTTACATTTGACAGTTTGTTTTTCAATGCAATTTTTGTAGCATCCTGTTTTTGGCTTACATTTGCATAATATCTTCCTGTTTCAGAATCCACACAGGTGACCGACCGTACAAATGCGCCCATCCAGGGTGTGAAAAGGCATTTACTCAGCTATCTAATCTGCAGGTAAACATTTACCAGTTATTTCGGACAGCTTAATGCTTTTTAAAAGGCAACACCGTTCGCAATGCTGCATGAAGGTCACTCAGTTTCTGTACATTTTTATTTCCCCCTTCTGAAGTCTCACCAGAGGCAGCACAACAAAGACAAGCCCTTCAAATGTTCCAACTGTTACCGTGCCTATTCAGACTCTGCCTCGCTGCAAATCCACCTGTCTGCACACGCAATAAAAAATGCCAAGGCCTACTGCTGCAGCATGTGCGGCAGGGCGTACACGTCGGTGAGTAAGAAATCCAAGTCGAGTTAAATAACAAATATGGACTAACTGTAGCGGAAATGTCTGAAAGTTTGCTTCTATCCTTGTTTTTTCCAGGAGACGTACCTTATTAAACACATGTCCAAACACACAATGGTGGATCATGTGGTGTCCCATCAGTCCCCGCAGCACAGGACAGAGTCTCCGTCCATCCCTATACGGATCTCCCTCATCTGAGCTCCTCACCCGTCTCCAGCCCTCCCATCAGAGACGATTCCTGTGATATCCTCTGATGGACTTCAAACCCTAAAATTGGTTACAGAAATGTGCCAGATCATATGAGTATCTTGTGAAAAGGTGCCCTTTTAATGAGTATTTCCTCCTTACCTTTTTTGCTGACCAGATAGTATTATCGGGGACATCCAAAGATGACTTCTCAGCACTTTCAGGCCTGGAAATGACAGGCCACAAAATGTCTTTTTCTATGTGACTTCACAGTAAAAAGAAAAAAAAGTATTGCTCCTGGCAGCTAAAGTACATTTTTTTTGTGTTATAACAAAATAACATTGTGTTTTTTTTTTATATGGTACATTACTTTTTATCATTGCATCAAAAAAAGTCTTCCGTTAGCTGAGTGGCCAAGTGATCATAAAGGTGAATGCTTATATAACGTGTATTCATGTAAACTGTGCCACTTTTTTATGTCAGTGTGTTCAAGGCTTCACCAACACGTGGCCATAATGCCCCTAAAAAAATGTAATGTTTTAACCCTGCTGTTAAGATTGCGCTGACCAGGATGTGTAACTCATATTTAGATAAATCGATATATTTAGTTTTACATATATTTTGTAATGTTATACAAATCAGTCCTCAAGTTGAAATTGGTACATTTTAAGAAATACTTTAATGTTTCCTTAAATACAAGAATTGTCCAAAAAAACGCAAACCGCACAAAAAGGGAATTGAAAGTGTAATTGACGCATTGAATGTGAGAGCTTCTGATTTCTGCTAGTGCAGAGAGAGAAATAAAAATATGTTTTTTTAGACGTCAAAGAAATGGTATACATTTGTGCCAAAGTAACCAAAATATGTATCATTATTGTTTACCTATTAAAGGGAAACATGCACTCAGTGCTTTTTGTCCACTTCGGGCGTACAAATGCATAAATGAAGTGACAAAAATAAATGTTACCCCTCTCTGCTGCTGACAGATGTATTTCTGTCCTGGAAAACATTGATGTTGACGTTTCTTTTTAGTTTTCAGCTATAATGTATAACTGAAGCACTTCTTTTGCCATTGTTTTACAAATGACACCTTTGCCATTTTATATACATTCAAGCCTTAACTTTGTTACCGCTCTAGGGTCCACGCTGTTGTTTTATCACTTTCATTTGCCTTTTATTTCATGGCATGATATATACTGTAAATAAGCTATATTACCTGTCAACCTGTTTTATAATAAATCATTCTATAATTACAAGTGATGGTGAGACATTTTTTGTTTTTTCTTCCTTAGGAAATCATCCTAGTAAAGGGATTGTAATGCCAAACAAGATAAACATTAATGTGCGCCCTTTTTTCATAATCCTGAATAATATAATGTCTCATCAGACTCTTTCTTTATGCACCTTTGCTTCAACAGGTGTTGGTGTGCTGTGTTCACGCTTTACAAAATTGGCAGGTTATCCAGGAAGATGTTTGTTGATAATGTGTTTTGAAGCTCTGGACTTTACTCACTTGGAAATTCTTTTTACTTATCTCACTTAATTGTGACCCAATTAGCCAGCCAAGGATTACCTTTCAGGGCAAGAGAAAAGCATCTGCCGAGTAATAAAGGGTTAAACAACTCCAGTTCACAAGCTATAAACGTTGTGAATTCAGTGATTCAGTGATGATCGGTGATTCAGTGTAATGATCGTTCAGGTTGGACTTGTGTGAACATGTACTTTGCATTTTATTGTACAAATTAAAACAAGTATAAAATGACAAAAAAGGGCTGCATTCACTTGCAAAAAAAAACATTCTAATGCTTTTTTTTAATGGGCGAAATTGAAAAACCACCTGCAGGTGTTGAACACACATCGTTAGTTGAAACAAAACTACTTAATAAGGTTTAGGAAAATGTCATGGTTTGGGTTAAAAGAAGAACATGTTGCGCGTGACTATATGGTAATTGTGTTAACCTTTTGTTAGACAGAACATGATTTGTGGTTTCCTGTGTAAGAGTCCTTGGTTTGTCAGCGTCATACCATCTCAAATCTATATTCCTGACAAGACATTATAAGGTCTATTTAATGTGCCGAAGGCAAATACAAAGCCTTCAACAACTCCCACTGTAATGTCTCAATGTGATATTATAGAATAACAATGAACATTGTATAAAAGTATCTTAGAGCAGAGAGTGATAAACATGTCTTCTGTATGATGAAGATTAACAAGGGCCAGATATGTTTCTCCACAATAGCAAGAAGAGAGTGAATTCTCAATATAGAATACTCTTTGGGAAGGTTAATAGATTCAGGACATTACTTAATGAATTATTCAAGACAGTTTATAACCGCTCTAATCAGTTCCTTATTTGATGCACTGAATCTAAGAGCTTCTGCTTTCTGCTACGCCACTGAGTCTTGATGAGAAGCGTGTAGGAGCGGTATCCGTTGGGAGAAAACACTGTCAGAGAAGACCTTTGAACAAGAAGCACCCCCTCTGCACTTTGATCCAAAACACAAAGCTGAACCGCAGGGAGACGAATCGTGTCTTAAGACAACATCAAGGGTGGGGTACTTGGTAAAGCTAGTATTTGACGAATTATGGATGAATGCCGGTGATTCTCGGGTAAGTTACCTAAATTTAATTATGTTATCCAATATCCTGTGAGCACAATTGGTCCTGTGAACAATATCTTTCTTATCTTTAAAATATTGTCTGAATTCAGTTTAAAGGTGTTTCCATACTGAGTGATATTTTCGAACATTGACAAGAATTTATGAAGGTTTTTGTCTAATTGTTGTATGGTATATGTTTTTATTTACACTTGCAACTACCACTGTTTGTGTCTTTACTAACTAAACTCTTCCAGAGAATAGTGGAATAATTTACATGGTTTCATGCAGATTATCGTGCTGAGTGGTCTGTTTGTTTAAAAGGAAATTATGCAAACATGCATGCAAAATACAAAAATTGTTATCTGTTATGTTGGGGAGGCGTGTGGCGGTGCGTTGGTGTTTGGATCAGGGGGGGCACAGGTTCAAACCCCACTGCAGTCAGCATGTCATTGTGTCCCTGGGCAAGACACTTCACCCCAAATTGCTCCTGTGGCGATTGCCCACAGTATTGAGTATGTAAGTCGCTTTGGATAAAAGCATCTAACAAGTAACATACATAATGTAATGTTATCACAAGAAGTACAGCCTTGGGGTTTTTTAAATAGCTGATGGAATCATCTATGAATTGACACAGGAAGTTAGACTAAACAATTAACGTGCTTAATTCTTCTCAGTAAACACAAAAATAATGACAGCGAAGACAAAATAAAAACATCCAAATGTTGGCCATAAAATCGTTATCCACCGGTGAAAACCGAAATGAGCTACCTCCTTGCCTTACCACAGCATCTGGCACTATATCGGACAGGGGCTGAATATCGTTCTTAATGTGATACCAAGTCCATCTGAGACCTGTGTTCACCTTCAGACCGCATCCAAGTGAAGCGTGCGTTGTTAAGTCGCTCAAGGAAAAATGGGATCCGCCCAGGTTAAACTGTGTTACGACTTCTGTGGCTATCTACCAGCGATCATGTTTAATATGAAAGACTACACACACATTTATCCTTTATAAAAACAGTATTCTGCAGCATTCATCCAGGTAAGATGTGACTGTTAACTCGTTTTGCAAAGATAGCAGTCGGCGGCGCCAGGATTTTTTTTGCTGCAGTAGCTTAGCAGTCGCTACACTGAACAAAAATATAAACGCAACACTTTTGTTTTTGCTCCCATTTTTCATGAGATGAACTCAAAGATCTAAAACATTTTCTATATACACAAAATAACCATTTCTCTCAAATATTGTTCACAAATCTGAAAAAATCTGTGATAGTGACTTGAGCACTTCTCCTTTGCCGAGATAATCCATCCCACCTCACAGGTGTGGCATATCAAGATGCTGATTAGACAGCATGATTATTGCACAGGTGCTCCTTAGGCTGGCCACAATAAAAGGCCACTCTGAAAGTGCAGTTTTGCTTTATTGGGGGGGTCTGGGGGGGTTCGAAAACCAGTCAGTATCTGGTGTGAGGGTTAGGATTAGGGTTAGGGTTAGGGGAATGTTGTGAATCGAGTGGCCTGTGTTCGTCGTCCATAACATACAGTGGGGCAAAAAAGTATTTAGTCAGCCACCA